TGTTCAATCAATGACAAATGAGTTAAAATAGCCGACTAACATATAAAGTATTGCTCTACTTAGTTGGGCATCTCGGTCAGCTGTTAATTCTTTGTTCAGTTCTCACCTATGTAGCTGAAATAGAAGAATAGAAGGATTTCATTTGAATGTCATGTGTATGAAGTCATTTTATGGCGCAGCCTGTATTTTATCCCTTAGCTGTATACACAGACTGAACAACGCATGCGGATAGGAATGGGAATCATCAGTACAGCCTTCTACGTGCAATGTTTTGAACAGTCATATAACTGATTTGCAAGACGGATGAGAGGTAGAAATAGATATAAGTGGAGGAGCAAATAAAATGAGAAAGGAAGAAAAGAAGAGAAACTGACCCACACTGCATCGCCTGATGATCAGCCTCCTGGTGTTTTATCCATTTATCACTTTAAGATAATGAGATACTAACCCGAATTCCAGGCCCTTGGGTAGAATTGCACTGATACATGACTTCACCGGCCAATCATCGTAATGCACTGTCAAAGAATAAGAATCGAATCGTGCTGACGAATCAGTGATATCATCAACGATTTTAAGAACACTAACGCGAGTCTCATTATCAATCTTTTCTGGACAAAAAACAATGCCTTTTTCATCACCTGACGGCATGCTGATAACCGGCTGAAAAATCATCTTTGTAATCGATCCATGATTTTAAAAAATTTGTCGTAGCGTGCTTCTCAGCCTTTGCAGACCCTCGCAAAATCAAACACCGTCTCGCTGACCAATTGGTACACAAAAAATTCGAGACTTTCAAAACTGTTCATCGCTTCGGCACGTTGCGAGACCCTTGCGCAAAACTTTTGCTTTGTCAAATAAACAAAATAGCCAAAAACGCAATGAAAAGCATTAAAATAAAGCACAAGCAGCGGCACTTGCGAGGAAGTAAACGGTCACTCGGGCAGCTCCTATAGGTATGATGCTAACAAAAGATATGTTGCGCAGGATCGAAGAAGGTGGCACAGCTGCGTCTGACGCATGGACGCATCTCGGTAACATTACTAACATGGGACACCTACAACGAGTGTCCGGATAGTTTTTATGCGTTTTTTGCAGCAATGCAATGCGAAAAACGCATATTGACGAGAGGTTGTCTG